GTAACTGTTAACGATGTCGGCTAATTATTTTGCGATCAGTTTATTTTTTTATTATTTACAAATTAATTCACTTAAACAAATGATTATTATTCAAAATATGTATTGGGTTATATGTATATACGTACTTACATAGTGTAACTATTAAATAAACGATAAAATATATATGGTATACTGTAAATTTAATAACTAGTGTACCGTATTTTGTCCTTTACTACTTTTTTTGCCGTTTATCTTAATAGCTAATTTGATTTTGTTACCGTTTTTGTTATCAACAAGGTCGGCCCGGTAATATCATTATTTTATAAAGTATTTGTATGAAAGAGGTGAACGCTGTGAAATAACTTATAGCTATAGACACGCTTAACTGTATTAATGTGTAAATTATTAATATATAGGGTGTCACACACCAGGGTCGGATTCAGGAACAGTTCTTGGTGGGGAAAGTTAAGTTTTTTCATACATGTAGTTTCTGAAATGATTTTTATCAGTATGTTGCGTTTTTTAAAATCACACCAGTTAAGTGCTATTGTTTTTTGTTTACTTTGAGTGATATTGTGCTGGACTGTTCTTAATTGTTTCTGAGTTAAAATGTTCTCGAATGTCTCTAGAGGTTTATTTTCAGCTAGAATTTAGTAGAATGAAACGGATCAGTCCAAAACGTTCTGGAATGTTCAAGAATCATTATGATGAGTGGTGGGGACAGCTTCTGACACTAGATTAGAGCATTTTAAATGTATTCTGACTAGTGTTCTAACAATTGTCTGAATTCTCTTATAATGTTCAAGATTTTTCCTGTTTGGTGTATGGTTTTGCGGGTCAGTCATCGACCATTGAACACCCGTTTAGAATATCTGAGAATGTAAACCCATCAAAGCAGGATATTGTCTATAGTTGGGACGTTTAAAATTGACAAAGTCCGCAATAAAACTATCGCATTTACTTTCATATCATATAAATATAGAAAAGAGATGTCAGGTAGGAATTGCAGCGGACAGTAATAAAGAAAAAGTTGATATTACAACGGTTAATGTGTAACAGAAAGAGATGCAGAGAAGCAGAATTTGAACATGCTGCCAGCATCGGACTTTAAAGAAAGTTCAACATTTTTAGGAATTTAGGAAAGCGGAGACGCTTGTTTAAAGATATAATTCCAACCAGGCAGTTGTAAAGCCGACCCTGATTTTTTCACTCTATCAGTTCTATTCATGAAGCATTTCCTAACTTAACATTTTTCGTTTTCAAAACGCAGCAAATGACTGCAATCCCAAATGGAAACAAGAATTTTAATCGTCCCAACTATAAAAAAAGTAAATCAAGAAAGTTTTCATACCCTGCTAAATTTTGCGTTTTCTGTAAAATGATAACGAACTTGTATAAGTATTTGATGAAATTTCTAAATTGCTCTGTTTGTCTAACAATGTTGGCAGTCTTTATATTTACATATTTTATTATAAAATGTCTTTGTACCACTGGTATGCTTTTGTGTAATAAAAAAAGTTTTAAATAAGAGTAAACAAAGAAAAAATGCTTCGTAATGTTTCAGAAAATTTTCTTAATTTATAGACCATTTTTTCTTCATTTAAGTATATTTAATTATATTTGTCAGAGTTTTAACGTTGCTATATTACAAACTTAATAAAAAACAAATGCCAGTCTAATTCCGTAACCTTATTATACAGCAGGCATTACTGAATTAACCGTGTCGTTATTTTTTATTTATGATATTAAAAGCAAAACTGCTGATAATATATGT